TCCTCAGAAAACTGGGAATAAACCTACCACAAGACCCAGCAACTCCACTCTTAGGCATATATCCAAAAGATGCCCATTCATACAAAAAGGATGTCTGTTCCACTATGTTCATAGCAGCTTTATTTGTAATAGCCAGAACTTGGAAGCAACCTAGATGCCCCTCAACAGAAGAGTGGATAGAGAAAATGTGGTGCATTTACACAATGAAGTACTATTCAGCAGAAAAAAACAATGGAATCCTGAAATTTGCAGGCAAATGGATGGCACTAGAAGAAGCCATCCTGAGCGAGGTAATCTAGTCACAAAAAGAGAAACATGGCATGTACTCTCTCATATATGGATTTTAGACATAGATCTGGGGAGTGCCAGCCTACAATCCCATGGCCAGAGAGTCTGGGAAACAGAACCTTCATTCAGTGGCTGATGGAAGAAGAGGCAGACTCCCACTGAACTCAAGAATGCAGTGACAGGCTGGGCAGTAGTGGCGCATGCCTTTAATCCCAGCACTCGGGAAGCAGAGGCAGGCGGATCTCTGTGAGTTCGAGGCCAGGCTGGACCGACAGCCTCCAAAACAATACAGAGAAACCCTGTCTCGTAAAACAAAAAACAAAAAAAAAATGCAGTGACAGAAAGGGTGGACTGATGATCAAAGGCATTAAGACTGGGCTGGTTTAACCCCCAGAAACAGCTGACCTGACAATGGTTAGCTCTTGATTCCCAGGCATCAGTCTGGGATCAGCATGGGACTGATCAAGACCCCCTGAATGGGGGTGTCAGTGAGGAGGCCTAGGTAATCTATTGAGCCTTGGGTAGTAGATCAGTATTTATCCCAGGTATACAAATGGACTTTGGACTCCCTTCCAACAATGAGAGATGCACTCTCACCCTGAACTCTTGGGGGACGGTCTAGGCCCTGCCCTGGATGAAATGACAGACTATGGACACCCCCATGGAGGGCCTCAGCCTCCCTGGGGAAATGAGGGGATATTGTGGGGGGGTGGGAGGGCATGGGAGGAGGGGAGGGAAATGGAGAGGGACCTGGAATTGACATGTGAAGCAACCTTGTTTCTAATTTATATATAAAAGATTGGGCTTCTTAGCTCAGTTAACCCAATCTAGATAATCCTTCATAGGCGAGCCTCTAGGATCTTGATAATCCTTTACAGGTGTGCCCAGAGGCTTACTTCCTGGTGATTCTAGACCCTGAGCTCATAATATTAAACGTCACAATGAGTACATGAGAACTATCACCATTCTATGATGTATCTAAAACATAAACATGTCAGGAGAGACCCAAATACTCTTTCTCTCTGCCAATGCCAGCTCCCATCTTGATTCTCTGTTTTATTTGAGAACTTTTGATTTCACAATACTCTGTGGATATATTTTTAAACCAGGTCACACAATGTCACCAGCCCTCCTTGTGAAGGTTTATTAACTTTTCCACTATGAGATACTTGAGGTTTTTGTTACTGAAATGCTACTGTAATTACACTGATACACGTTATATTTTATCAGTTCACAGAAGATCAGCTTTATATTTTTAATTCTGTGAAACCTTAGAATTGCTCTAACAGTCAGGTGACTGTCTGAAGCATAGCTGCCCATCAAGTTTGTCATAGACAATCCTTGTGTTGCTATTTATGCTTAGCAATACATATAAATAACACTATTTACATCTTGAGTTTAATTGCTTATAAAAGTTTTTATAAAGGCTATGCTGTGAGTCATCAATGACACAAAAAGTTATTGTGTGTTTCAGAATCCATGGAAACAGAAAGCCAAGGTGTTAGGTCAACTATCCGTAGCAGAATGGATGTCAGTGGCTTCCAGCCAACTGCAACCCCAGTTCCAGGGGATCTGATGCCCTCTCCTGGTCTCCCCAAGCATTTTCTTGCACTTGGTGTGCATTCACACTCCTCAGCACATGCACTCACATAAAATCTAAAAGAAATCTTTAAAAAGTTTAATGTCACAATTAGACAAAGGTCTGTGTATTGTTCTAAAGGACAAGAAAGGGTTTTTTTTTTCCTGCGGTGCTGGCAAACAATGGCAATTGCCTGTGACTGCTTTCCCACACTTTATTTAGCTATACGGATTTTCTTAGGGCATTTTTATGAATGTGTGCCGGTTGTCAAAATAAGCAAACTTGACAGGACTTATTGGCGTGGCCATGAGAACTAGATTTGCCAGCAACAATATTGGGTGGACATTTTCCAAGGTCTAGATGAAATATGAAAAAGACTTGCACTCACATTGAGCATTTCATTTAAAAAATACTACACTGATAAAGCAAATTGAAACTCATATTTGGAATTTCCCCAACTACTGTTATGTATGTGTGTGACTGGAAGTCTACACCAGTGCCCCTTTGTGAAAGTAAAGAGGCTGACTGATAGCCATCTGAAAGAACATGGTGTACAGTCTTTTTGATATCCTACCAAGAAATCAAGAGTGTGAATTACTCTATTGACTCTGTAAGTCAGTAATATTCTTGCTTTTACAAAATTGAAGGGCCTGTTTTACCGAAACTTTATGTGATTTTAGTATATAGATTACAAATCCAAACAACCATGACAAAACATACCCCGTTCTTTCTGTGAGCAGGACTCTTCATGCTTATGTCTATAAAAGCAATGGAAGAGGGGAAAAGCCGAACCCTGTCTTAGCCTGGCAGCAGGTCATCGTCCACTACAGGTAAATAAATTAATTATTTGAAAAGTTCCACACTTGTCTGATTAGCTAATGTAGTTTCTAACTTTGCCCCCTTGGGTTAAAAGTTTTAAAATACACTCATGTTGTTTTGATTATGTATAGTCATGAAGGTTGTAATAAATCTCAACCCATCATTCTTAAAAAGACTTAAAATTGCGTGTGTGTGTGTGTGTGTGTGTGTGTGTGTGTGTGTGTGAGTGATCATGCACACAAGAACACGTACATATAACAGTGAAGGTGGGGGTCAGAGGACAGTTCATGGGGAGTCAGTTCTTTGTTACCACCATGTGTATCTCAGGGATTGGACTCACATTGTCTGGTTGGCAGCAAGTGCCTTTACCCACTAAGCCATCTCACTGGTCTCCTGAGACACAGTCTGAATCCTTCAAGATTCATGATTTCAAGAATTAGGAAAGTGTTTTAATATGCATGTGTGTATGATTTTATTATAGAAACAACAGCCAATATAGGCGAAAAGAATCCTATAAGATTCGGAGGCTGAGCACTGGAGAGCTGACTCTATTGGTAGAGTGCAGGCTGTGCAGGCATGGGGTCCTGAGTTCAGATTCCCAACAGCTACATAAAACCCTGCTAATCCCAGCTCTGGGAAGGTAGAAAGGGATCCCTGGAGCCTGTCTAGACTAATCAGTGAGCTCCTGTTCTGTGAGAGACCCTGCCTCAAAAAATAATCCCTAGCGTGCTCAAGTCACCTAAAATCAACTCACATCTGCATACACAAACATGTAAACACACCTCCCCCTAAAACATACAAGGATACTAAGACTACAAAAGAGTTCACAAAGAAAAGTAAGCTATTTAAAATGTGGCTGTTGAAAGAGACATTGTGACTTTTCAAATAGCCAATGGTAAAAATCAAATCGCTATAAATGTTACATTTCTTTGAATACTTTGCATGCTGGTGTGTGTACAGGTGCTTGTGTGTACACATGTGTGTTCCTGTGGAAGACAACTTTTTGTGTCATTCATCAAGTAACACTACATTTTTAAACCTTTTATTTAATAATGTGTTTGGGCCAGGCTGTGGCGTCCGGGCCAAGAGCAAGTGCAAGATATCGGGAAATGAAAGACAAGATGTCTAATCGTTTGTGCTAAGAGAATGCATGTGTGTGTCTTTAAGCTCTCTCTCTCTCTCTCTCTCTCTCTCTCTCTCTCTCTCTCTCTCTCTCTCTCTCTCTCTCTGTAAAGAGGGAGCAGCCTTATATACAGGCTTACAGCACAGTGGAAAAACCCCAGGTGTAAGAACTTGTGTTTTCCTCGTGCTAGATGTTGATGTCAGGCAGGCAAGGCCAGGGTTGTAAGCCATGACTAGAGAACAGGGTGCACCTGTGGCTATCAGCTGACAAGCAATACACAGAAATCTGTGGGGGCTGGGACCCAACACCAGGCGTTGGTGTTGCATGCCTTTAATCCCAGCAATAGCAAGACATAGGTAGGTGGATCTCTGTGAATTCAAGGCCAGCCTGGTCTACAAAGTGAATTCCAGGACAGCCAGGGATGTTACACAGAGAAACCCTGTCCCCAAAACAAAATATAATAATAATAATAATAATAATAATAATGTGTTTGGATCTGAGCCACCATTTTCTCCTATCCCTACCTCTATTTTTCCCACCCAACCTCATTTATTTTCTTCCCTTCTCTTTCTGTTCTACTCACCCTCCCTCGATATATCCACTGAGGTCCACTTAGCACTGCCTGCATGAGTACAGGTATGGGGCTATCTACTGGAGCAGGGGAAGACTCTCATGGGCTGTGTCCCTGAAGAAAACTTTCCCTCCCCAGAAGACATCAACTGTCAATGACTCCTTTGAAACAGGTTCTTTCATTGACTTGGCACTTGTCAATTGGGATAAGCTCCCTGGCCAGGGGGTACCAGGGATCCTCCTGTCTCTGCCCCCGGAACTAGGATGACAAGTACACACTACTCTGTCTGGCCTTTTCTTAAAGCCAGGGAATTGAACTCAGGTCCTCATGCCTCCCCAGAAAGAACTTTGTCAACTGAGCCCTCTCCCAGCCTCCTGGCTATATTTTAAAGACAAATATGATCACTTTGGGATGTTAATAGTCTCAAGAAATCAGAGTTACATTCTGCAACTATAAGATGTTATGGGGTGATGACACTCATCTATAATCCCACTACTTGGGAGGCTGAGGCAAAAAGATTGTGAATTCTATGCCAGCATTTACTACACAGTGAGACCTCTCTCAACATAAAAAATTGTTTTCAGATATTAACAGAAAGTATGCACAGGTGAACATCATTCTTATATTTTAAATGGACTAATGGTTTATTCTACTCATAAAATAGACACAAGTCTGTGTCAGCTCATTGAACTGGCTAGAAGTTTGGGATCTGTCTGTCCCTTTGCTCCACCACCCATAAGACCCAGTTATGCTCTGGGAAAAGTGAAGACCAGAAGGCTGTCACAGGTGTGAAGGGCAGTGCAAAGGACTGGGCCACCAGGATGTCAAGGAATGACCAGGGAAGAGGGACCCTTGGGAACCAAGGTCGGACTCTAATGTACCCACGTCCTAGGGGCTCTCTTTGGCCCTCATTACAAGGGAATCCCAGGGGAAAGGCCACAGCAGCTGTTGCACGAACCTCACCAACCACATGCTACCCTCCACACCTATCTGTTAAGGAACCTTGAGAGTAAATTGTTCTCTTAGGCACATTGCCAAGAGTCCTGCTACCACAGAGAATGAGAATACATAACTGACAGGTAGCAGACTGCCACATAGACTGTGACCACATGTCTATTAAATAGCAAACAGACGCCCACCTCTGGGCATTGTTATCCTGGAAGGACATTTGCCAATGATTGTTCATTGGGTGGAGAATTTCAGTTTTTTATTTCTACATTGATTTTTCTTAACCATAGAGATAATTATGTTTTTGCTTTTTTGTTTTTTCCTGCTGTTTGCTTGGTGGTTTTGAAATAGAGTCTCGAAAGGTAGCTTAGGCTGACCTCAAATTTGTCATACTCCTGTCTCGGTCTCTCAAGTGCTAAGATTACAAGCATGAGCCACCATATTTGGCAAAGCTAAAGAGGAGCAAATTGGGGAAAAGAAAGCAAAAGCTAAAGATTTTTCTAATTAACAGATGAGTGTCAGTTCCTGCTTCCGAAGACACTGCACCTGGGTTCCACCCTCATTGCAAGTGCCACCTGTGGGGTGAAGCTCCATCTCAGGTTGGCTCCTCATGGGATCAGGACAAAGCTCATTTGCAACAGAGTCAGGCACGAGTAAGAGGGCTGGAAATAGCAGCTGCCCTCTTCCCCGGAACCCCTGCCAGCCCTTCGGCCTGTTCCTCTTTCCTGCCTTCCGTGGCTGGCAAACATCTGTCTAATTCTTCCCGGACCACTTCACTGCATGCAGCTTAGGGGTTGGTTTGTTTTTTTCATTGCAGTGATTGCATTTGTGACAAGAAGTGACTTCAGGGAAGACAGGTGTGTTCTGATTTGTGGTTTGGTGGGTGTAAGTTTGTCAGGCCAGGGAAGTCGTGGCTGCAGGTAGCTCCATTGCAGTGGAAGTACGCTTCTGGGACTCCGCATCTCATGATCAGGAAGCAGAGATGTGGGAAAGACGGGCATACTTACCTGGCCTTCTCCTCTTCCTCTTTCTGTTCAGCCCAGGACCCCAAACCGTGGGAACGGTGCTCTCTGCCTTCCTCCGCGGAAAAGGGTCTTCCTCAGTCACACTAACCGACATACCCAAAGGTGTGCTTCATTAAAGCCCTCTCTCCTCTCTCTCCCTCACCCAAATAAGTCCATGACAAACATGCTGATTAAGCCAATTAGAAGTTGTAGGTCTTTTATATTGGTGGTCAAACCAAGGGCAGGTTTTAGCTTCTGAGATGTCTCTTGTGCCCAAGATCAGGGATAGTTTCTAAAGGCAAAAATACATCAAAGTTAGATAAGGGTCAGGTAACTTTCAAACCTTCATTCCTGGCAGAGCATAATAGTTATTTTAGACATGACTTGCTGGTTATTTTGTTACTACATCTGGACAATGGTCAAGGCCATGGACATGTCAAATGTGTTGCCAAGGCAGATGTGACTGTTCTGGGGAGAGAGATGGAGAGGCTGAAAACTGTCTAAGCCAGCAGTTCTCAACTCATTTGGGGTCACATATCAGATAGTCTGCATATCAGATATTAACATTATGATTCATAACAGTAGCAAAATTACAGCCTCGAGGTAGCAACAAAACATGAGGAGCTGTTTTAAAGGGCTGCAGCATTAGGAGGGTTGAGAACCACTGGAAGCAAACACAAATCGAGTCAGAACAGGATAGTGTTACCTTAAGTCATTTGACTTTGTGTGTCTGTGTGTGTGCATGCACCTGCATCTGTCTGTGTTTGTATATATATGTGTGTGTGTGTGCATGCGCACTCATGAGTTTGTAAGTATTTTGTGTTTGTCTTTGTGGGTCTGTGTGTCTGTGTGTATGTTGTATATGTATGTGTGCATGTGTCTGAGTCTGTGTGTGTGCGTGCGTGCCTGTGCGTATTTGTGTGTATCTGTGTGTGCCCATGTGTGCGTGGCGTCTGTATGTTGTGTATGTATGTGTGCATGTGTCTGAGTCTGTGTGTGTGCGTGCGTGCCTGTGCGTATTTGTGTGTATCTGTGTGTGCCCATGTGTGCATCTGTGTGTTTGGTGCATGCACATGTGTGCAGGTGTACATGGAGGCTAGAAGAGGATGATGGGTGTTCTCATAAATTTCCCTAACTTCCTCTCTTGAGAGAGGGTCTCTCACTGAATTAGGAGCTCAATTTTCAGATAGGCTAGCAGAAGTAAGCCCTAGCAATCCTCCTGTCTCCCCATCATTCCCTACACTGAAGCTTTGGGGTTAGAGGCACACTATGGCTATGCATGACTCTTTGCTTGAATGCTAGGAATTTGAACACAGGTCTCATATTATACAGCAAGTGCTTGTAACCATTGAACAGTGTGTCCAGCCTCTGAGGTTTTTTTTAAATCCTATCCCGTCAAGAAATGAAATTAGCCATCACTTGGGTCATATCAGTGATTTACTAATTGATTAAATGCTGAGGTCCAGAGATGATGCTTGGGGTGATAACCCAAGACCGAAACCAGGACAAGGACAGCAAGGTCATCCACACATGCACTGAGTGTACATGCTAGAAGTCCGTCCAGTTGTGTCACTCTTCCAGAGAAGTCATCATAATTCACCACATAAAGAACACCAGCAGACACAGCTTACCCCAGCCATTGTCACCCACCGCATCCTGGAGACACTTGAGGAAAGTGAGGATGGGAGGTGTGTGTCTCACACAGAAACGGGAGATAGGCCAGTCTGCATGGAGAAATGAGGAGCCAGGGCACCCCTACACCAGTCAGTTCAGACACACGAGCCAGCCGAGACACATGAACAGAAGAGGAGACACTTGTCTAAACAGACAGCATGGCCACCTGCCTCTAACCTACAGGTTCTCACCCAGGCTCCCACGCCCCTGCGGAACCCTTTCGTCTATGAGCAGTGATAGTGTGGCTCCATTGCTTGCTCATTTGTTTGTGAGCCTCAGATCCAACAGGATGAGTACAGTGTGTCTGTTGGGCTCTCTGCTTCATCTTTAGGCACTGAGGCGGTACCTGGCCTGCTGTGATACTCAACTGATCCTGAAAGAATAAATGCACGCATAGGTCCAGTAGGCTGCTCTCAGATTTCCTGTATCATTGAGGACAGTGTTGCATTTCTCTTTCTGCTGTTATTGTTGAACATTTCGTTCTTAAGGAAATGGAACTGGGGAGGGGCTTAGAAGTCAGGCTTCTTGTCTTCTAAGACGCCCTGCTAATACAGAATTGAAGAGACTTATTAACTGGGGTATAATAGACTTCTGTGGCTATGATAAACACCATGACCAAAAGACACAATGGAAAACCTTGCTTACAATTTTCAGTCCATCATCCAGGAAGTCAAGGCAGGCGCTTGAAGCAGACACTGTGGAGGAGCACTGCTTGCGGGCTTGCTTTTCTTATATAGACCAGACCCTCCTGCCTAGGGATGGTACCGGACTGGGCCCTCCTCATCAATTAGCAGTCAAGAAAATGTCTTACAGACGTACTCACGAGCCACAGTGATGGAGGCAATTCCTCAACTGAGGCTCCTTCTTCCCAGGTGCCTCAAGGTTTGTCTCAAATTGCCAGCTGAAGCTAACTATGACAACTGGCTACTAAAATACTGCATGCCTTCCGTTTTTTCTGTGTGGAGGTGAGGCAGGGAGGGGAGTCGGGGTGTAGGACCCAGGGCTTCACGTATGCTCTTTGTTTGGACAGGTGAAATTGTGTTAGCCTGTGCATCTGGTATCCCATCAGGTGAAATCCCTGGCTGTACTCATACTGTGCTTTGGAAACTATATGCAAATTTAAATCTGGGTCCTTCTCTAGCTGGGGTCCTGTTTGAAAAGCGTCCCCTGCTTCCCCAGGCTATGAGAAGCTACAGTTTCTGGGGATGCTCGCTTGTTTGTCTGTCCGTTTTGTTTGTTTCACTGTCCTCGTGCATAGTAACCACTGTGTTAGACCATCCAAGTCTCAGAACGGCCTTGATGTTTGGCCCAGGGTAGATCAGCCCTGAGTCCTGCTAATTAGGACTTTCATAGTCACCCTAGCTATCCCAAAAAACCAGGTCCCTTGCCTCCTTGGTGTACTCCGAAGCAGAGAAATCTTGCCTCACAGGTGTAGGCCAGATCCTTTTGCAATGAGCCCCAGGGGTTGCAGCAGAAACTGGTGAACCTGCTCACAGTTGCCATCTAGCCTGTAGGCTGGCTCCCCCATCTGGTAGAAAGAGGTACTGACGCGCTGTGATTTTTCCTCTCCTCTGGCCCAGGCAGGCACAGGCCGCTTTTCCGAGACTGTTGCCGAGTTCCCTACCTGGGAGAGATGTGAGAGGGCCAGTGGCTTCAGGCACAACACGTGACACATGGCGGTTGTCACAGAGATGGGGAAATGAGACAAACTCAAGAGCGCTCAAGACACACAGGTAGGCCTGATTCTCAAAGAGGAAGTGGGCAGCGTACGTGGGAAACCTGGCAGACATCTCGAGGATACCCAGACCTTAGTGCTCCAGAGAGTACGGTCTCCGGGTCCATGCCAGGCTCAGCCTTCCCAGGAAGACCCTTTACAACTGGGGCGGAGTAGGAGGTGGGGAGGATGGGGGCGGTGTTGCTGACCATAACAAAACACAATCTTAAGTTTGCCTAGAGACCCAGAAGAGGCGCTGAACTCGAGCTTTTGAGAAACACTGGAACTGTTAAGACAGTGTGGAGTCTCGGAGAGGTGCTATAAACAATTTGCATTGTAAGATGTCCTCGAGCCTTCTGAAGCCCAGGGGCAGAATGTGATGGTTTAGATAGGCTAAATGGGGACCAAGGAGAAAGCCAGGCCAGCACAGGCACTGGGGCTCACTTCTCACTCACCCTGCTCATCACAAGGCTGAGGCATCTAAATGTAAACCCCAATAAACTCTCCCTACAACTGCCCCCTCATAGTGGAAGAGGTCTAACAAGCTCACCAAGCACGTTACATCAGCTGGTGTAATTGGAATGTCCTATAATTAGTAAAAAAAAAAAAAAAAGAAAGAAAGAAAAAAGAAAAATTAAACCCATAACTTTAGAACTCTCTCCAAAATAAATCTCCAATCACAGATGGTTTCACCATTTAATTCTCACAAAGGTGTCCCAGAGAGTCAATAGCACTCTTGATTTCTTCCAGAAAAACAGTAGCTTGGGGAATGTTTCTTAATTCATTTTACAAAACCAGTGCTGCTTTGGTATTGCCAAAAAGAAAAGAGAGAAAAAATGGGTAGAAATACAGACTTGGGTGTGTAATTCACAGCACTGCTCCAAGGTCTGAGCAGATGGCAGTGTGGGCAGGATGGGCAGGCAGGGCGGGAAGATTTCAAGATCGGCTAGAAAGCTGCTTTTTGGTCATGCTGCTGCACAGAATAGAGAAGAAAGATCCATTAACAAAAATAACTAAACAATGTTAAAAATAAATACACAGAATCAAGTGGGACTCATTCCATCAAAACAAAAGCTGGTCTATATTTGAAGATCAGTCAGTGTGGTCTGCTGTTTGGGGACCACTTACCAAAGACACTGTTAATCTATTGGAGTGGGCAAAGCATTTTGCAAAATGCAAAGTTTACCCTTAGTATATGTAGTATATGTACCTGAAGGGAACTTCCTCAGCAAAGGATATCTACAAATAAATTCCAGCCAGCATAATGTGTATAAACATTAACTTAAAGCAGGCAGAAATTTAAAACTAAAAATCCTGTGGGAGAAAACATTGAAGGACATCTTTATAACTGAAGGTGGAATTGTTAGATCTGTCAACAAAAGTGTAATGGGGGAGGGGATGCTAGAGAGATGGTCCTAGGCTAAGAGCACTTAGTGCCCTTGCAGAGGATGAAGCTCACAACCACCTGTAAGTCCAGCTCAGGGAATCCAGCAGCCTCTGGTGGCCTCTAAGGCTCTTCCCTGCCTGCAGAGACTAACCCTGAAAAGAAATGAAACAGGGCACTCGTGCACTGGCCTGCCCATGGTTCAGGCAGCCAGTGTGCCAGGCAGAGCCGTTTTGCCTCAGGCTTTCCCTTCCCCTACATGGAGAGGGAGGAAGTCAAAATGATGCTGGGTACGCTGCCCCTCCTTCCCTCCTCCATTTTCTCTCCATCAGTCCAGGCCCAGACAGAGCTCATGGACAACAACATTCAAGGCAGGAAAATACCGGAAAGCAAGCTGGGCAGATGTAGAAACAAAGACGTGACCAAAAGGCTGCTGTCTAGGTAGCTTCGAAATCTACCTGTCAGACCCGGTGCCATGCACTCAGACCACTCGGACTGTGGAGTAAAGCATCCTCAGATTCTACTCCCTCCAGGCCTGGCTGGTGTTCAGCCATACAATTATTTGCATGTGAGTTTACAATGCCTTCTTTGTGTCAGACCTTATGTTCCAAACCTATAGCCACTTTTTAAACAGGTTATTGATCAGCAGAGATGCAGGGGCTCCTGTTGAAATGTTCATTGTTATGCTATTTCTTTTGGGGGACTCCTTGCAAAAGAGCTTGAATAATGTACAGCTGGCTCTAATTTGGAAAACTGAGAATTCAGCCCATCCTTGTTTCATTTCTGTGACTGATAAAATACCACAACAAAAGGAAACTTAGTGGGAAAAATGTGTTCATTCTAGCTTGCAATCCCAGGTCCAACACCATGGGGTAGTCATATCTGTGGGAGCTTGAAGCAGCTAAATGCATCGTATCCACAGTCAAGAGCAAGCAGTGAGAAATGTACTCATACGTGCTTCTTGTTTAGCTTGTTTTTGCTGCTCTCGTACAGACCAAAGTTCCACTGACAAAACTGTGCCCTTAAAGCCAACGGTAGGGAAAAGGGCGTTGTTTTCTTGTGATTACTTCCTGCTGAAATGAGACAACGATGACCAGGGTGAAATAAGGAGGTGCGCCATCTCCACTCTGCAGTTGTCTCCAGCATTACAGTCCCGGTTTTAGGGTGTTGCTGTTAGTGAGTTCAGAGGCATCAAGTTGGATCGAGTGGAATTGGTGAAGTGGGGCTCCATCTTCTTTCTGGAGAGTTCCAAGATTGCTGTTAGGAAATTTTTTGTTTGCTGTGGAGGACTTAAACATTAATATCAGCATAGAAAGTTTAATAGGTGAACAATAAGGATGAAATTAAGAATGAGGAAAATTAGGATTTTAGAGTAGACAGAGTTAAGACAGTAGTAGTCCTAGATTTTGTTTTCTTCGGTCTTACACCAATGACCCTTTGATACAAGACAGAAACTCTGAATTTTATTTAAACATGTTTGAGTTTGGAGAAGGAGGGCCAAGTCCAGCTCCAAAGCAGGTTTGATTTTTATGTGACTAGGGACTACAGTAGTGCTGGGAAGACAAGCGTTTAGTATAAATATTTTACCATATGTCAGATTCTTCATTGTATGATGGTTCTTTCTGGATAGCTATCCTTTCTTCTTTAGACATATACACTTTTAGTGTCTTTTTGCTTCTTGGAGATGGGTTTTCTCTGTCTTCCTGTAAACACAAGAACAAAACACTCCCCCTACCTTTGTGAGGTCTCCATACAACTCTTGGGACACACCTTGGTGAATGACCTGTCATTTCTCCTCATCAAGAGGTTTCTCCTGTTATCCCGATCTTGATCAACTTTGATGGTATTCAAAGCTTTTCTTCTCCTGTGGAAACAAAGACAAAACCCCGACCCCAACGTAACACATATCCTGGTTTCCATACTAAGGTCAATACATCCTTGAAGTACACTGGCTGATTTAGTTCAGAAGTTTTTTCTATTGTCTAGTTATCATTCTGCAGCTATTTTTCCTTTCTCATTAGCTTAAGAGAGTTTAATGTTAGTAAAGCATTGGGTAATCTGTGTTTGGGGGTCTTTGTTCCCCCCTGCCTGTTTATAGAACATTTCCCTTAATGTGCGATTAGATCTCTCAACCACTGCTTGTCCTGTAGGATTGTGTGGTATACCAGTTATATGCTTTATGTTATAATATTTAAAAAACTGTTCCAATCTGCTGGAGACATATGCTGGAGCATTGTCAGTTTTTATTTGTGCAGGTATACCCTTAATGGCATTACCTCTAAGAGGTGTGTGAAACAGAATCAGCCTTTTCAGAGCTCAAAGCAGTGGCCCACTGAAACCCTGAAAATGTGTCTATTGTATGGTGCATGTATTTTTATTTCCCAAATTCTGCAAAGTGAAACACATCCATTTGCCAAATTTCATTTCTATGTATACCTTTGGGATTACTACCTGCTTGGTTATAGAAGGAACACGTAGGACATTTTTTTTTACTATTTCTTTAGCTTGTTGCCAAGTGATAGAAAAATCCTTTTTTAAAACTTTGTTATTCAATGGTGTTTTTTATGAAATTCTGAGGCTTCTGGCACATTTCCTATTAATAAACAACCAATTTCATTATTGCCTTGTGCTAGAGGACCTGGTAGACCTGTATGGGATCTGATGTGTGTTATATAGAGAGAGTGAGTCCTATTCCTGATTGTTTCTTGTAATTGTAT